GAAGTACTAGAGAAAATTGAAGCCGTGGCATATCGTCTGAAGTTACCACCGACAGCGACGATCCATTCGGTTTTCCATGTATCCCAGCTAAGGAGAGCCATTGGAAATTATGCTACCAGTTCCGAGTTACCAGGGACATTAACAGATGAAATGGAAATGATATTGGAACCTTTGGAGCTCATGGAGGTTCGCCAGAAAGCAGATGGAGCCAAAGAAGTCCTGATCAAATGGAAGAATCTCCCTGACTACGAGGCAACGTGGGAGCCATACGAGCGGATGAAGCAACAGTTTCCTGACTTCCACCTTGAGGACAAGGTGGTTCTTTGGGAGGGCAGTAATGTTAGACCGGTCCAGGGAGGACTGGTCCAGCCGGCCCAATCCAGTGGGCTGGTTCGTTTTTACCGAAGGAGGCGGGCGGAAGAGCGGGCGGAAGCCGCGAGGGGGATTGAGGCGGGGTCCACTTGAAATTCAAGTTATTTCTTGGAGCCAAAAGGTGGGGAAGGGAGGGCAATTAGGTCCTTTTGTAACTATTTTGAATTGTATGCATTAAGTAGGGAGTAAAGGGGAGGATTAGGATTATGTGAAATTTACTTTTGAGTTTTCTTGTTCTTCTTGGGTGGCTTGGGCTCTAGAACGAATTCTAGAGATTAGGAGAGTGCGATCCTCCTCTCGAATAGAGGATCCTTGTATCTTTGCTATTTTCCTTGCATCTATTAGTAAAATACAAGTCCTTTCTCCACGTTTTCTGCAGTTTTTCTCAGTTTTTCTTCAGATTTGGGCTGTATTCCTGCTGTGGACAGCAGTTGGATTTGTGATTTGTTGCCAAAGTGATTAGGAAATACTTGAAATCAAGTATTTCCTATCAGTTTATCTAATAAGTGATCTCTTGTGGAAGAAATATCTCCTTATGTGCAGCTTTCAGCCACGCCAAAGTAGATATTAGTTCCACACCAAGCATTTTCATGACTTTCAAGATTATCCAGTATATTTTTGTTTTCCAGGGTAGTTTTAAGAACCAAGCCTAACCAAATGTTCATAGAGATAATTTTGTAATAGAAGAAATTATACATTTCCATTGCTAGATCAAAAGAAGTTTAAGTTCAAGCAAAATAACTAATGATGACAATAGTGCTTATGAATCACCAAAAATTGTTAAAGATTTGACATTCATCACAATGGTGATCCTATTTACATCTTTTAGTTATTTTATAATCCAAAAACCCTCTTATCTACCAACAACATAATACGTGGGGTGGGGGGTTGTTTGGGATAACCTTTTTTTTTTTTTTAAGTTTTGATATGATTAAATATGGGTTGTTTTGTTTTTGTCAAATATTGCATAAGTCGATTTATAAGGTGAAGACAACAGTGGTGGTGGCAACATCCATCAATGCAATAGTGATGGTGACGGTTGTAGCAACAAATGCAAGGTGACTAAGCGTTTATGTTTTGAATTTAATAAAAACATCTAAAAATTATTTTGAATGTTCTTAAAAATATTTTGATTATTTTTCCAAAAAAAAAAAGAAAAAAGTTTGTAAACAATAACCAAATATGCTATTTAAAGCCAAAAACAAAAATTACCAAGAGTATTTTAAAAGAAGGAAATTAATAAAAAAACACAAGAACTCATTACCTGAAATGTTTCAAACAAAGCAATAACACTCAAATATGCGTAAATCAATAACAAATATCTTGTGGAAATTAAACCCATATATAAAGACCATAGAAAATTTATAGATCATGTGAGAAATTAATAATCAAATATGTGGATATTCTGAATAAACATAATTTTCCAATCAATAAATCGACCATTATATATCTAAAATTATGACCAGTAAGTTTTGTCTAAATCCAATCTAAAATAACTGGAGTTGATCTATAAAAATTGGCTAAAAATTTTGGGCTCGGTCAATTTTGATCGATTAATGTTTCAAATTTCAAATGATGGAAACTAAGAGGAAACTACCTAAACTTCTTAAACCTTTAAAATTAACAAAATCTAACTGAACAACCTAAACTCGTTCAAACCAGTAAAACTGAATTGAAGGCTCGTACAAAAGAAAATGTTGCACTTTTTATTCAAAAAGTTTCAAAAAAAAAAAATAACAATTCAATATTGCAAATTTAAAAAAAAAAAAAGTAAATGAAATTAAACCTCAAAACTAAACACTAGAACTGTCCAAAAAAAAAAACCTAAACATCCATGCCAGAGCTTAAGAAAAAAGTGTTTGAGACCTTGAAAAGTAAAAAGATAATAGAATCCAACAAGCTAAATAATTATGCCTTATAAGGGCAATTCATCCCTGAAGATGATTAGGAAGAAAAATAATATTCAAATCCAAGGGGACACAAATTCATTCAACAGCAAAAAGCATTTATAAAATTCCAAAGCCCTAAGGTTATAGAAGGATGAGTGTGTCATATGGCAACAAAAGAATAACTAAATCCAAGTACTAAATTTTTCAATTTCAACTAACATGGAATATAAGGTAAAAATCTTATGTTGGAACTACCATTAAGTATATTTAAGGACTTGGGTTGTCTAGACACACGATTTCTCATTCCGTGCAGTCACACGCACGCGAGAAGAGGCTTTCGCTAGGCTCAGCTCGGTTTCACCCTAAACGCATGTAAGAGGAGCCCTCTCGCTCGATCTCTCTTCAGTCTTGGATGCACGAAGCAAGATTGACCAGTATTCCTCAACATTCCAGCATGAAGCCGATGGAAGAACCAGTATTCCCCAGAATTTTGGTAATGAAGGATAGTGGTAGGAACTTATATTCCTCAGAATTCTGACAATGAAAACTAGTGGTGGCAACTTGGAGAAACAGTAAGCACAAGCTCCTTCAAGGTAGGATAAAGTGCTTTTAATCTATCTATAACCTTCACTCGAGCAGAGGGTACAGGAAAAGTAACCCACATCAACAAATCAAGTGCAAAAGGAGGGTCAATGTGCTCTCCTTTTCTGATAGCACCAATTATTAGAATAGGATAAGATTTAGGCATTGCCAAAATACTCTCAATCAACTGCAAAGCCAAACCCCTCATCTGCATATTACAACTTTCCCAATGGATCCACCACCAAAGCTGTTTGGCGAGTTTAGAATTGCTCCGTAGATGAATTCCTCAAACAATCAAGAAAACTAGTGGCATTCCTCTTCTTTTGTGTCACATTGGATGGAGCGGCAACAAACTTCTTTTCTAGCTTCATTTGAGCTTTAGTAGTCTCCTCAGTGTTTAGGCTAGGCTTCAACGCAGGAGCCTGGTTGGAGTTCTTGGAACCAGAACCAGTAGGTCTGCAACTCCTATTAGTCCTTAAGCCCCTCGTTCCCGATACCTTTGATCTCTCCTTCATTTTAGGTTTAACAATGATGCTCTACTCGTCCCTATCTCGCTCCTGCTCTCGCTCCTTCTAACCCAAATCCGAACCATGGCCCCTCTCCACCCTCCTAGCCACTTCCACCTTGGTGGTGGTTGCTGCCTTGGAGATGAAGCTACGTTTATGGTCAGCAATTAGGGAACCCGATGATCAATTCTTCTTCGAAAGTGAATTGTTGAGATCTGAATCCAACTTTAACTAAGTAACTATCTTCATACACAGCAATGAGTCCTCCTTTGGCGCCTCCTCCATTTTCGCACGAGCAGGCTTCAACAACATCGTGATCACTTCCTTAGAAACCATTTGTCATAAATGGACAACAAATGTTGATTCCGACGAGTCCTTATGAAAGAAGACGATGGCGTTGTTGCATAGAAGCATGAGATCGCGGAAGAACTCCATACTGGAGTATTTACTATTTAACTCCCCTCCGCTTCAACTTGGCACGCACAATCTCCAGATCCACTTGTCTCCTAATCATGATCTGGAATATCACGTTTTCCTTACCCTAGAGCTAGCTCAAGAAAACGGATTCATACTTGCTCAATCAGATGATCTCGAGGAAGGCAACCAAAGGTTGTGATTTAACGGCAATGATGTGGTTGGAGTTGGCAGCGAAGTGTGAAACAGCATCTGTCTTCACCTCCTCGGCAACATTGCTACTGTCGAAAATTGCTTTCCACGGCCTCCACCGACGACACCTAGATAGGCTAACTGAGCTCTACACATCGTTGCTCTTCTTCTTGCCGCTACCGACTCCCCAGATTCCCCCCAAAAGTGAAGGTGTGAGCTCAGCCGTTTCCAAACCTTTCAATACAGACTGCGAGCTCCCGTTGCAAGAAGCTTCACGAGCTGGCCGAATTAACATATCATGGCCATTAGCTTTCATTGTCTTCTCTGGCTCTATTCCCTCTCCACCTCCGTCGGCCTTCACTTCCTTAGCCTTTAGATGCATTAGTTCCTTTTTATAGCTTTGAATAGTTACACAGTTAATAACTCTTAATCTCGTAATGACTAAAACATCCAATAGGTAGCCACAATTATGCATGGGGTACTGCATTGCAAGCAATAACCTAATAGTGAAAGCCTCCAGTACTGTAGAGAACCTCTCAAATGTTAACAAGCCTCGATATGTTCCCAGCATGCTAGGCCCCCTTACAGGTAAACAAGCCCAAAGAGAGCTACTGAAACAACGGGCATCACACCACATGTCACCTACAACAGAAAATTCAAATTGCCCCTACAACAGAAAATTTACTAGTTTTATTCGCAAGCCAGCAGATATGTCATAAAGTGGGAAACTCAATAGCTCCTAACACTAAATGGTGTGGGAAACCTCCTCATAAGCTAAGAACTGCAGGAACAGCTATGGTGCAACAAGGCATACTTTGGAGATTGCCATTTGCCAGTACCACGGATAGTTGAATGCATCAGCTATAAATGCAGCAGAACATGTCGGAGTAAGAGAATGTAAGCTTTTCACAAAATAGGAATTAAGATTGTTCATTATATCACTAGTGTTCAAAAATGAAGATTTCGAAATTCAAAGCAATCAGGCATTGTATATTCTTACAATTTTAAAAAGAGCATGATGAATGGAAAAACAATAATGGCATACCAAAGCAATTCACCACCATTATCACAAATGGCACACACAGAATCAAACAGATCTGATTCTTCCTCAGACTCCTCGCCATCATCAACAATGCCACCTTCCATCTCATCATCAATAATAAATGGCCTTTCTTCTAGAACATTATGTAAATCCTGCTAAATATCAAATGTTATGTTATTAGTAACATTCAACAAAAAATTGTAGTGATAGGGGAAAAAAGAAAAACCATCACTGACCTTGACAAAAGCCTTTTCGGGATTCTTAAGAAATGCCTGCAAAATCTGCTCAAACAAAAAACTCAAAAATAAGAGTTCAATATTTTTTGAAGAAGAAATAGGAGTTTCTAAAAAACAATAGAAAAAAATATTAAGAATAAATGTCAGGCATTTAAGTAACGGGGACAAAGTAATACATTGAAGCACAAAAAGTTGCACATTGAATATTAAATGAGTGTAAAGAAAAGTAACATAAATCATAATGATGCGAAAAACATATTAAATTAACATTTATAACTAATGATAAATGTCTTACAAAATCATAATATCAAAGTATCACACAAATAACTACAACAATGCTATATCTTAATCAACTTGTGCGTACAAAAATGTAAGATGCGATGATGCATAACATAATTTTCAATTTTTTTAGGATGTTTTTGGTTAAATTTTGGCTTGACATAATTCAAGACCAGACCTTTTTATTTTTTACTTTGTTTCAAGCAGCCTTGAGAGTATTAAGTTTCCGACATACGCTAGCTAGCAACTAGAATTTGGCAGCCATGGTGTTTCATCTTTTGGTCAGTAGTTTAGCAAGGTGTAGAAGGTCGGGCAGTAGCAATTCTAATTTAGGAGAAAAGGGCGGCTGCTATCTAGTGGTAGGAAAGGTGCAGCCATTGCAATTCTAGCACAAAGAGGTTGTTGGCTTGCAAAAACAGCAACCAGGACACCAACAATAAACAGAATTACAAGAAACATTCCCGGGAAGTACATTTGGATTCCAATTCCAGGTTCATCAATTTCTTTTCATATTCTTTTGTTTCAACATTTACTCTCTATTTTCTCTCGGTATAAATAACTGTCTTCAAATTTTATTTTATCAGGATAGGCATAGATGCTCAAGCATGGATGCCTTTGGCATCTTCTTCATTGGGCCATTGTTCTTTACTTGATTTATTAATCCCTAAAATATTTTTCACTTTCCTTCATCTGCACTCTACCCTTCTTTTCCATATTTGAATGAGAAGACGAAACAAAAAGATAATAAAAAGAACAAGAATCAAAATAAAATGTTTTCTTTTTCCTCTCTACCCTTCTTCCCCATATTGAATGAGAAGAAAAAAATCAAAAGAGAATAAAAACTACAATAATTAAAATAAAAGGAAGATGGTGGAAAAGCAGAACATAGAGAAAAAGGGCTGAAACGAAACACAAATAGGAGAAATTGGTAATTTATTTAAGAATAAAGGTAGCCTCACCTTACACGTTGCAAGCTCCTTAGCATGCAACATGCAAAGTCTAAAACACTATACAGAAAAGTTCAGTAGGATTTCATCAATGAATTCTAGAAATAAGCACTTTCGCAAACTAGGCACGTCAACAACATCAAAAGAGCCCACCTTTCTTTGGGGCATTATTAGATGAATGAATATAAGTTAATAAATTTGAATTGTTTATACATGTAAGTTGTTTAAATTGCTTAAGGCAAACTATGTAGCAACATTTTTAACTTAGAATGCAATTGAAATCGGAAAATAGTTATTTGGATCAAAAGTATTCTTCTTATGGTCAATTTGTTTGGTTACAAGCATATGGAAGCGATTTGGATCTTAACTCCATATGAGTTCAAGAATCTGATTAAAACTGGATGGAATTGAGTTTTCAATCTTTAAAAGCACCTTCAAAAGGTGAGAAATGGGTTTCAATCTTACGAAGTAGGAAGTAACCCTATTTTTTCTTCCCTTCTCATAGCCGTGGATTAAAATTGCGTGATAAATTGTGTCCTAGGGTGCTTCTCAAAGATAGGCATGTTGCAAAGCACCTAGAGGCTATAGCATCCCATAAAGAAAAATACATGTATGCCTCAAGCCAGCAAGATGTGCATTGCACATCTTGAGATATTTTTAAAGAGGCATACGACTACCATTTTAATTTTTTCAAGTGCAGGGCTGAAAAAAAAAACAAGCATCCCAAATGGTCTAAGTGACTTTTTTATTCAAAACAAAAACTTTTTACTCTAGTAAATATTATAAACTAGGCCTTAGAGGCTTAGATCATAAAAAAAACAAAAATAAAAAGAGTCACAAAAACATGAGGAAGCTCTAAATGTTGATTTTTTTCTGGAAGAAGTAATAAGAACAACAAAATCCAACAATAAACTAGCAGAAAAAATAAATATAAACTTTATGTTATATAAATTCTAAAATTCAATAAGTCATTGCTTTAACTAATATTCTTATAGAATTGTATTAATTAGAGAAGTGGAATGTAATTGAAGCTTGAGATGATGAAGATTGGGAAGATGTTGAAGTGAAGATGAGAGCGACAAGAAAGCAATTAACTACAATGTGGATTATAATGAAGACCCCTTTAATTTAAATTATCCTAAATCATAACTAGAATATTTAAGGACATGCTTAATTTTTTAGACCTCATGTATGTTAATAGTTTGTCTGAGAGTTCTTGCTTATTAATAAGTGCATGTATAACTTATTTATAAAGTTATGCCATGATTTAAAACTATAACCCTTAAATGCTTTATTTTTAATTTATTTAATGATTTAATTTTAAGCTAGCGCCTCAATATTCATTGCACAATTTTAAATTTTGTTAATTGCAGTATAATAATATTAAAATATTGGATTAAAGTTATTTTTACTTAAAATAGTAATAGATTAATGCAAAATTAATATTATGGTGGGTTAAAATGAAAGCTAAAGTAGACCAAATAAATGCAAAATTTTGAGTTCATAAGAAACAAGTTCCTACAAAATAAATAAATATCACTGTAACTTAATGTGACTCACTTTCAAAATTAAGATCCAAGCATTTAAAATAAAACAAACAGGCCTTTATTTTATGTGAGATTATCACCTATACTCTTTAAAAATATTCATCGTGATTAAAATAACCTTACTAAATGATACAGCAACTTCGCTTGGGCAGGCAACTAAAGTGTCCGAGCCCTGAATGTTAGGCAATAATAATATGGCCTTAAGGGCTCATATCACTTATGACAACACTGGAGATGGCTAAGAAAATAAATGCCACAAGATAACAAAGGAGAATTCTAATTGCAAAAGAAAGAACCAATGTGTTCCAAAAGTTCAGCCTAATTGTTCATCATTCTCCACGACGCTAAGAATAAATGTATAATGTCAATGAAACATAGGCCAAACAATCATCAATAGTTAAATCACTCAAAACTATATTTAAATATAGTTTTCTACACACATGTGCACACAATGACCAATACTCTAACTTCAATTAATAAAAACAACCACCAATTGGTTAAATAAGAGTTTCAAATTGCGGTATCATATAAAAATATAATATATATAATCAAACGATTTTGAGCATCATATAAACATATATTTACGAAAATTTCTCTACCCTATAAAGTAGAACTGGAGAAGAATATGCCAATCCTATTTATTCAGATTAAAGTCCCAATTAATTCACCTGTTAAAAAATAAATTTACAAGAAATCATAGACTATAACAAATATAGAAGAGAGATCAACAATTTGGACAATTGTTAACTTCAAAGTCTCCAAACATAATCCGAGGTTTCTCCATAGGTTGTTCATAATCAGTCCATCCATCATACAAAGTGCTAGCACTTAGATTCATATATTACTTTCAATATCAAAGATATTTAAGAAAGGTATTGTCCAACAAGCAAGCATGCTTGCATAACTTTCCATTCCACGAGCTAGAAAGACAACGGGACTAAGATCGAGCCTACAAGTGTAGGAATAGTTTTCCCTGAGGAAATGATTTGCCTAAAAACAATAGATCTCCTTCAATAATCACACTAATATTCTAGAGAATGTATAGGTGGCATCAACTATATGATCAACAAATACACATACTTGTATAAAGGGTTAGAAAGCGTACCTGAGACTTGGCTAAGGTTTCATCTCTCTCTAGAAACAACTTAATCAGTTGCATATGATCTTTGAAGTCATCTTGGCTTGGTCTATCATCAAGCAAGCTGCACAATTCAACAATCAGTCAAAACCTTACCATATTAAATCTTTGCTATCTGATAAATTCAAATAAAATAGAAGAGAAAATCACCTTAAAGCTTGGCGCAGATGTTCCCAAAAGCTCTTCACAGATGCCTCCGGATTATTTTTGGAAAAATGAAGCAAATGAATCGTGATCAATGTTGTTCTGATACACTCCTCATAGCTCTTCTTCGGCTTCTCAAGCTTTATCCATTTGTTGTCCTTAGAAAGTACGGAAATCTCCGGACCATCACCATCCAATCTCAGCTTCCACGCAACCACATCTTTGAAGACCGACTGAAGGCCTCCATCCATGGTTCCACGTACAGACACCAGGTGCTTGGGATCCTCTGCCTTCTCATCATCTATAATTATCGGTAAAGTCGAAAATGAGATGGGCACACCATCTTTGTCCACAAAATGGTAGTTTGTAACTGATTGCGGAACTACCACCTCTTCATCATCTGACGACGCCATGAATTATCTATTAAAAAAAATAACCAATCGTCATCGCAAATTTTAAGACCAAATGTCCAAAGATAAAGAAACTTCAGAAAAAAAAAATTAGAATAAACTCCAGAACAGTAAATTTAGGAACTCGCCACATCAGTTCAATGACCAAAACCCTTGAGAAAACCATCAATTAACTAGTAAAAAAAATTTAAATGACCCAGAGAAAATTTGTAAGGGAAAGAAGAATTCAATCTGAAAAAGTGAAGAGACCTCCGACGAGGTAAGTTGAGAGGACTGCAGTGCTTTCAGCGAGCAATACCGCTGTAGAAGATCAACGACTGCCGTTTTGCAGGAGAAAGAAAACGGAGAATAGAGGTAGGGACAGTTCGGCAATGTACGGCAATGAGCAGGAAAGCAACCACAAGAGGGAAGGTGCTCCTAAGGACAAACGGCCTAGGTAACGACTATGTCTGGCTTCTAGTATCAACCAAACAAGGGCTAATCGTCTGAGGGGCTGTGGAAACGAGATTTATGCAGGATTTAACTATTTGAGAGTCCCGTAAATCTCACGGCGAGTTAAATCCGCCGTTAGCCGATTTTCGACCAAAATCCCGGATTTACTAAATCCTGGAATTCGGCGGATTTACGAGATTTGGCCGAAGAAGCGCGTGAAAGGGATAAAGATGGTTACCTTCGCAGAGAGCGAGCTCCTTCACGCGAGGCTGAAGCAGCAACGAAGAAATGGCGACCAGGAAAAGCAACCGTAACGAAGAAATTGAGAAGATGAAATGAAAACCCTACACCGACTCTATCTATATTAGAAAATAATTTAAACTATTTAAGCATTAATGATAAATTAGATTATTACTATTCATGCATTAATGATTAATTAGATTATTATGATTAATAGTATAATTAAATTCTCTAATTTAGTTTAATTAGATAATTATTAGTATAATTAATAATTAAATACAAAGTTTAATTAATATAATTTGAAATAGAAATAATTATTATCTATTTTACATTATAAACAATTAATTAGTAATAATTAATTTGTAGTAAAATATTTAAGTGATTAATGAGATAATTAATAATCAAAATTAATTAAATAATACATAACTTTTTATTAAATCATTTGGGAGAATATTAGATAATTATCAATAATATCATATCCTTATTAATTAACATCTAAATAAGTAATTTGATAAATGGTACTGTAATTACTAATTAAATTATTTGATAATTAATCAAATTTCTAATTATGTTATTTATCATTATAACTTATTTTCTGTAATTTTAATTAAAATTAATAAGTAGCTCGCACTTAACAAGCAAATTAAACCCATACTACATTAAGTTTAATTTGTAAATAAACTAACCTCCTTAAATCATGTATAATGTTGCTAAACAATTTCACGACTTCAACAAAATTTGACAATTATCTTGCAAACTATTTTCAAGATTTAACATATCTAGGATCAACTAATTCCAGATTTACAAGATTTAATAAATCCTACTAATTCTTTTAAATCATAATTTACATGATTTAGTAAGTATTCCATAAACATGATAGGAAGACGCATCAGTATAGAGCATAGGGTGACAGTTGGCAAGTTGGTAGTGACCAGGCAACATCCACTTGAGTCTCTACCTAACTATATTGTTAGGTGGAGTAATGGTTTGAGAGCGCTTATGTAATAGCTCATATTTTGACCTAGTCAAATAATATTTTAGGAGTCATTCTAAGTTTAATTTGTAAACCATATATATATATATATATATATATTATTTTGCTTTAATTATAAAAAATTTCTCCTAACATTATGAGCATTACAAAAATTTGACAAATGTCAATATTGAGTGCTAGAACATTCACGACAATAGAGTGATATAGGATTTAGTGTCCTAGCTTTGTATGAATATCTGACACACACACAAATAAGAGAGAGAGATGAAAGAGTCATAAGAGACACCAAGTTTTTTATGTAGAAAATCCTAAAAAGTGGAAAAATTATGGAGCATGTTGGTCAAAATGATTATATTAGTATTTGTAGTCAATTACAAATGATGCCCTTTCATAAGAGGAAGGTCTTGACTCAATGTAGCAAATATAAATCATATAAAGCACATTATACAATGGGAGCTATAAAAATCCATTGATATTAAAATTATTCTCAAGAGAGTGTTGGCATGTTCATTTGGTCAATTTGACTATATTTAGGCGATAAACATCAGAGGGATCGTAATTGGCGAGTGACGTAGGTCCGAAGGATAGTGGTCGACTGCGGTGGTCAAAGGGAAGGTTATCGGTGGGCGATAGTGGTCGGAGGGACCATAATTGGCGAGCGACGGAGGTCGAAAAGATCGTGGTTGGGCGATGATTTCCACACTCCAGGATCTATATTCGAAGAATTACATTTATTTTTCATTTTAACAAGTTAATTAGAGCTTACCAATAAAAAGTGAGAAGAAACGTGATTACATTTTTGTCTTATATGAAGCCTCATATCATATGATCATTACCCTTTCCTAAAATATGTAAAATCACGTAATGAGCATATTATCCATCAAGTAACTAAAATTTTACAACTAAAAGTAATACAAGATGAAAGAGAGCTAGGAGTGTCAAAACAGGTTCGAGGGTCTAGTTTAGGTCGAACATGGACTGACCCGGTTTGACCCTAACCCAACCTATTTTTGCAAACAGGTTAGGAAATCCAATCCAGATCCAACCCACATAAGTTGTCGAACATCGACTTGACCCGCATACATGAAATCGGTGACTAGACTGGTCATCTTAAACTGCGACAAAGATGAGGCCTTTCGGACCTTTCATGAATTCCAGTGGCAATTGGTCGATTAGGGATGTGCTGGTTCTCGGGAGTGCCGGTTGCAATCTTGTGAGAGAGAATCAGTGGTGAGGGGAGCTAAAGACCAACAATTGGCGACTAGAGAATCAATGAATTATTAGTATATATGATGGGCATAACCAGAAAAGACATGACCGGTTGTCGGTGTCTTGACTATTGAGGTGCACCATGTTAGAGCTGCAAGAGATGAATTATGTGGGGGTCTTGCAGATTGCGATTTAGCCGATCAATTATGTGACTGGTGGATGAAGGGAGAGGTGAGGCTTACGTGACAGTGTGAGGTGGGAGGTTAGGGTTTTCTAAACGAGTCAGCTTAGGTCACTTTTGGATTTTCGGGCTAACCAAAACCCGACACAGTCTTTAAAATGGTCGACTTGCCGAACCCGACCCGTATGTCAAACGGGTTGACCCAAACCCAAAATTTTTTGGGTCGGGTGCTAGTCAGTTTAAGGTCTGTCAAATATTGGCACCCTAAAAGAATAATATGCTATAAATTATATAAAGAAATATATGCATCAATATCAATATTGACTATTTATATTTTAGGTCTGCCAACTATATATATATATATATATATACCGTAGCGTCTACTAGATCAGTGCCAAAGCTCTCAACTTCAAAAATTTTCATATTTTTCAAATAAATTTATTTCACTTATTTGAGTTATTACAACGATGATAGAGGGACTATAGTTGGCAAGCAACAGAGGTTACAAGGGCTGTAATTAGGCGACAATGGTGGGAGGGATCATAATTAGCAAGCAGTTATGGTCTGATGGACCATGGTCAGTAGACGATGGTGGTCGAAGTGATCGTAGTCAACAGATAATGGTGGTTAGAGGGACCTTAATTAGCGGTGACGGTGGCCAGGCAACCTTAGTTGGCATACGAAGGTGATTGGAGGGATAGTAGTAGGTAGCTGACGATGGTTTAGGAGACCTTAGTCGACGGGCCACGGTGGTCAGAGGAACCGTTGTCGACGGGTGACGGTGGTCGCATGGATTGAAGTCCGCAAGTGATTATAGTTGATGGGCAAATGTGGTCCGAGGGATACTAATCTATAGGTTATGATTGTCGACGGAACTATATATAATTGGTGAAGGTCATAGGGATTATAGTCAGTGGGCAACGAGGGTTAGAGGGACTATGGGTATAAGTGAGTCGAGTGGGTCAGAGGGACTAAGGGTGTAAGTCTGGATCGATTCGAAAGCTCCTTTAATAAAAATGTACTTAATAATGAATTAAAATTAAAATTATATAATATATTTTAATAAAGTTAAATTAATCATTTATTAAAGGAATAAAAATTATAAGAAAACTGAATTTTTTAATTTAAAACTAAGAAATTGAGCTCATCAATCGAGTAAAGCTCGAGCCTATGAATCTTTTAACGAGTTTAACTCAAGTTTAGTAAACAAGCTCAAGTCAAGCTTGAGCTCGGGCTCAATAACATTTAAAAAGCTTAGCTTGATTAGAAATATACTCAACTCGACACGACACATTTGCACCTCTAGGAGGGAAAGTAGTCGATGGGCGAAGAAGGTTAGAGGATCCTAGTCTGCAGGTGACAATGTCTAAAGATAGCAATCTGTAGGCAAAGGAGCTCATAGGGACCGTAGTCGATAGGCGACGGTGGTTGAAAGAACAGTAGTCGATGAGCGACCATGGTCGTAGTATTTGGCGAGAAACCATACTCCGACTATGGTCGAAGGGATTTTAGTTGGTGAGCAATTCTAGTCAGAAGAATCATAGTCGAAGAATAATGGTGGTTGGAGGGACCATAGTTGGTGGAGGTCATAGGGACTGTAGTCAGCTAGCGATAGGAGTTAGAGGTGCCATAGTCGGCGTGCGAAGGAGGTAAAGCCTCAAAAAATTCAAAACCACTCTCATGTAAGAAGAGGGGGTCAATTTATATATTTTGAGAGTGGCATACCGCATACCCCATAAATATAGATAAAATCAATGGTAGATTGAGAATGTTCCATCGGACGGCCCATATTGATTCCCTAAATCTTGGAGCGTTTGTTCATGGTGCCTTGATGTTGTCAGAATTAAACAATCGTGGGCTTGTTGGATTTATCTCATCGAGCCACTCAATTCAACTATAAGCATGTCATATTTTTATACCAATTGGCAATTCAATTAATTCTTATGAGCTTTTAAATATGTTTAAGCCCCTAATTTGAGACCATTTAGGCTCGGATTGGATCAATTTTGGTGCCATTGGATATGTCTCATTGAGAGGTTCAATTTAGTTATAAGTTTGCTAAAATCAGAGTTTGGATGATTCTAAATTTAATTTTGTAAGTTTTCAATATAGATATCAAGATTTGCACCGATCAAGATCATTTTTGGTGACGTATTAGCCAATATAAGTGAGTTTTCTGGGATGGTTATGTGTTTGTTATGTAAACCAATTTTATCAGATAATTCTAGACATGCTTAACTAATTTATGAATGTTTTTTCTATAATTTTTAAATCCTTGAATTTGAAGATATATAATAATTTATATGAATTTTACACTAAAAATTGAACAAATTGTATCATTACATATATCCTTATGCTATTTTATTATAAAATATATTTAAGCACATACAAATTATATTAAAATTCCCTTTTTCCCATTCATTTAGCTTTACAAAGCACAAAAATCATATTAGAGAAGAAAAAGAGACGAGAGAGGAGAGAAAAACCTAGGTTTAGGGTA